ATTCCCAATTTTATACATGTATTAGGAAATTCATCTACAACCTCCACTAGAAAGTTTCCCACACTTAAACACACACATACACCCTAGCACATATACGTCTGTACACACATACACTCGCAAAAACATACCCCCGCACATATATAGCCACACTTATACATCATACACCAAAGTGCATTTATCATAAACAGTGCACTTATATTTCAGATATACTAAGATATTTGATTTTAATAATTTTTCTGAAAGGATTTTTTTTTCTTCGAAAAAAACTAATTGATTAAATATAACGTACAATAATCATACATGTAACCTACATCAGGTGTGCTCATATATATATATATATATATTTATATATGTAGACTTACACACATACACCTCATATACACCCCACTCACCAGATATTATTTTGTTTCGTCATCTGACTCAACCAAATTGAAAACCTCCTAACTATTGATCCACGATCTCACACACTGACCCAGATTCGGGCAGCCCTCACGTCAACTAAACGATGAGTCCACACATCTGTGATCCAGCACAATACACACCAGCACACCCTAAATGTGTGCTAATGCTAACACTCTTGACCTTCCTGGCTCATTCGGTCTTCTTATCATTAAGTTACCAAATAAACACAAGGACTTGTTGACTTAAAAACTATAGAATGCTATCATTTACAATGAGTGTTAATTTAAAAGAAGTGTTCGTTCTTGAGTCATTATTGGCAACTTAAATTTCGAAGAATAAGAAATTGAAAATATTTACTTAGTGAAGGTAACTATGAAAAGCAGTATCTAACTATTTATCTATCTATCTATCTATCTATCTATCTATCTATCTATCTATCTATCTATCTATCTATCTATATGTTTGTCTGTCTGTCTGCCTGTCTGCTGTCCGTCTGTCTGTCTGTCTGTCGATAATATAATACATTAAAAAAATAAATTTAATAGTAACATGTTGTATAGTTCTGTGTGTGATGCTCATTCTATATCTATTTAGAACATATAGACCTTCATATACATTTATATACATACGGTGAATGTATACACTGACCCTAATCACGGAGGTACTTAAAACTTTAATGTTTAAAAAATATAAAATGTTTATAGATTGAAACCTGCTTATCTCAACAATGATATTACCTCGTTTCTGTGACGGCTGGTAGGGGCCTATAATTTAAAAAGTTCACACTGAATTGTGTATGTGTTATTGTTTTCGGTATCAAATAGCGTGCTGCCCCTTTATGTCTCACAATCTTAGATTTAAATACGCTCTTTGTTATTTCTTTTTTCAGTAAAATTTATTGTATTATTATTTGTATATTTTTTTCACTTAATATAAGAGAGAGATAAAAATGATTAATATAATTTTTTTCTCTCTTCAAATACTTAATTGTAAGCGTTTTTGTTTCTCTATCTTTTATTAGAATGGTCTACATGTATTACATACTTACTGCAGTCAGTTACACAATAACAGTGATCAGAAAGCTATACTCACTCCCTTTGTACACATATTAACTACATAATTGTTAGCTATGACTCAAGTCGTCCTTATCGTGCAAATGTTGAAACGGGAAAAGTTATTGCGAAATTACTGACCCAGGAATAGATGTATTGATGTTTGAGTGAAAGGTGGAGAAACTTGATTTACAAGGAAAACCCTGTTACGTAGAGACATATTGATCATATGAACATTTCTCCTTTTATCTTTCGCTATGAATTGTAAATGTACTAGGCCGAACATGTTTATAGTTTCTTCCAAAAGAAAGTTAAGTTGATTCTGGTAAGTTATTTCTCTGCATTGTAAAAAAAAAAAGATTTTTTTTTTTTTTCAAGATAAGCTGCTAAACTCAGCAAACGGGTTGCGATTCACTGTATATTGAATGTACACTGCTTTAACTATAATGAAGTTATAGGAATAGTTTCTGATTAAGTGATAGTCTTAGGTTAAGAGGTAGTTTAACTTTATTACAAAGGCGTTACTATAAGGTTAGTATTGATTTTTTAGTCAAGGGCTATATTACTATTGTTTTTCTAAAAGGTTGGTGGGTAATTTCAATTCATAAAAAAAAATTCATTTTTTTTAGTAATTAGATATAATAAAAATGGACTTGTAGAGTTTCCAAACATTTCTTGAGCATAAAAAGGTTATCTTTTAATCAGTTAAGTCCCTTGTCTTGACAGAGACAAGTGTGTTACATTCACAACACTTATAGATTGTTCTGTTAAAAGCATGTGCTAGGTCCTCAGGTAAGGCCCTAACATTTGCCGGGTCTATGCAAAATGGATTGCGAGGGGCCCAGTATGGGATAGGATAAGGATAATAAATGAATATTAAGATTTGTATTAGAAAATAAATTCGTCTTTGCATTTTATACCTTCTTTACTAAGTACTTTCGAGCCTTGCGTGTAGCGAAGTCATACATTATATCATCAAAGCTCTGTTTCCTACATAGATCACGCTCAATAGTAAGAATCTTGTGAATTATTGACCTCTAGTATTTCTTGATTAGGCGCGAGAAGCTTCTTTCCCCACATGCCAAAGTTACGGGTATTGTTAAAATATTATGAGTGCAACAAAGAGAATCCTGTTATCATTTATAATGGTTTAATTTTATAATTTACACCTAGAATAAGCGCGGGGCCTATGAAAGTCCCACTGGGGCCTATCGTACTCATTGCATCTCAACCATAAATTTCATTCTATTTTTTTAAATCGTGATACTTTTTTAATAAATATATTTTTTTATTTTGTAGATTTGATTGATTTCATAAAGATTCTAAGAAAAATGAATAATTGAAAAAAAAAAAAAACAACAGAAAAAATGATGGTTAACAAAAAACTCATTTTAGCGGAACAAATATCTTCATTCCAGCGAGATCTTTCAACACCAGAAAGTGTTGAGTTCAAACACTTAGAGTCTCAGTTGAATGTACTTAAAATTAACATTCAGGATAACGGACTAGAAAAAGAGTACTTCTTGTTGATGAACTGGTTTGATACAAAATTAAAGGATGTGAAAAAGGAAATGTTACACCGGGAAGAAATAATGAAGCTTAATGATTGGAGAAAAGATCTGGAGCACCGGGTGCTTGGAATTCAAATTCCAGTCCTAAAGTCTCTAATCTCTCGCTTTGATGAGCTGAGACAGGACGCTGCTGTCCTGGAAGAAAGAATTAACAAGCACAGCGACCACTGTTACTCCATCAACAACCTTCGTCAGGCTGTGAAGGATCTTAAAAAGAAGATTGAAAACTTGTCTGAAGACAATAAGATATATCTGGGATGGACAGGGGCTACTACGGTGCTAACCGGTGCCAGCATTGGTGTTGCCTTTATCCCTGTGGTCGGACTTCCTATTGCGGCTGTGATGGCTTCAGCTCCATACCTAGGCAAGCTGGCTCATAGACTGACAGTGTCTTACAACAGGAAGAAAACATTAAAGAATCAAGACCAGATTTAAGTAAGTGTAGGCATTAAACAGGTTGTTGTGAACACCTCTACTTCCTGTCGACGATAGGACTGATTATCTTTTTGTAGTCTTATTTACATTAACAATGTTTTAAAATAAAACCAATATAAATACAAGTTAAAAAAATATGCCACACAAATTTCCGCAATATACAAAGTCAAAAAGCTGACACCGTTTAGAATCTTTGGTCAAATCTTATGAGATGTTTTATATGTTCTGAACACAGACACACATTTTTTTTTAATTTATTCATGTCCATTTATGAATTATTTTAAAAAAATACTTAATTTTACTTTCCTGAAAAATTAGAACTTTATATTTGTGGTATCAGATTAAAACATTTTCCTCCTTAAATCCACAACAAATATTAGCTTCTCATTCTAAGCATTTCTTATCATTTTGTTGTAAATACTCTATTTGATTTGATATCTATGCTATCTAGATCATGTCTGGATGTATATACAATGTGTATCAAAATCATAAAAGATTATCTAAAAACATTCATATCTAACCAGAACTTTACTAGTAAGAACTATATAATAAGTTTTTCATACACTTGTGGGATATGATCATGCTGAATCTTTAAATGTTTCGTTGTATCTGAAGCTTCATAATCTCCGTATAATTTATGGATTCAACTTTTGTTAAAATTCTGAACTGTTATATCCTAAGCAGGGCCGGCCCTAATTATTGCGGGTCCCTGAGACGGATTGTGCGCCCCAGTCTGGGTAAGGGTAAGGATGATAAGTGAAAATTATCATTTGGTATTAGAAAATAAGTTCGTCTTTGTATTCTGTTCATCCTTTTTTAAGTACCAAATCACGATCCAATGACTTTTACGAGCCATGCGTATAGCGAAGCTATACAGTATACCATCAAAATTCTGTTTTCTACAAAGATCACGCTCTATAGCAAGAATTAGCAAAATTTTCAATCTATCTTCGAGAATTGTTGAAGTCAAGTAATTTAGTTATATTCTAATTCTACATTTAAATATCAAGACAAAGCCGGATTTATGGGAGGACAGTTGGGCTAAAGCCCCGCGGTTTCCACAAGAAAGAGGCCTCCACATGAGTATATCCGAATTTTGAAGGGTTGTAAAGTAGTTTTTTTTTGTTTTGTTTGTTCGCATTTTGTTTTTTACAACTGTAAAAATGTTGTGATTAAGAAGTGTACGCCTGTATCATGCTTGAAATAAGTAAATACAGTTCCGGATGTACGACAGTGCGTCTAGTGCCGTTTACCAATGGCCTTACCCTCCACTAACTAAAAAATATACACTTTTCAAACTAAAATATACATATTACATAATTCGTAAGAGGAAAGTGAGATACATTTTACAAAACTATTTCATTTTTGAAAAATATAGCAATTTTTAGATCTTTATAAAACTTTCGAAAAATTGTAGGGCCTCCACAAATATCCTGCTTTGGGCTTCCACATACTTCATCTGGCCCCGTAAGTTAAAAAAAAGAAGATATCGCTTTTAATTTTTTAAGAGATCGAGATATAGATATTTATGTACTAGTGACTATTAAAGTAAATAAAGTATTGGAATTTTCGGCTTTGATTAGATTCGCCCTATTATTACATTTAAAAAAAAAAAAAGCTGACTATAATATCCTTTTTATCGCGCGTAGGAATAACGTTCTCCATATTGAATGACACTATAAAATGTCACTTCTGTTTTATTTTCGTATATTTTGAAATTTCAGGAGGTTTACAGATCTAGAAAATCAGTAGGCCGCGGGAACCCTTTTATAAGTTACAATAATTTTTTTTCAAAATTTACTTCTAAAATTATCACGTGGCATGTGAAACTGCGGGGCCTACTGTGGCCGCATTGGTTGCAATGACTTAATTTCGGCTCTGACCATAAGACTTGTTAAACCAGTGACTGTCTTTCATCATGTTTTCACTTACTTTCGGAACACCATTAATTATTATAATTATAATTATTATAGACCTACATGTTTCGTTGAATACTAACTATTACAAATGAATACAAATAAATTCTCAATATGTTATCAAATCTAATTATGCTCGATCTTTACATTGTTTAACATTTTTGCTGTATGTTTATGACGTATAAATATTGCACAGCATTATATAATGGTATTTAGTAATATGGTATTTTAAAACATGATTTTGAAGAATAAACAATGGTTGTTTTAAAATGTATCCAAATTTTATTGTTTTCCTCTATTAAGTTAAACTTTTGTTATGTTTATAATCTTACAATTACTATCAGTTGTGATACAAATGTTAACCAATCTGGAATTTACATACATGAAAAAAAACTATAACAAGATAGCTTTTTGGTGTATCCGGTGTACAAAATAAAAGAAGTGTTGATATTTTTGTTTTAATGCAGATGATAATTTTGTACACTTTTGAGCAGTGCAGAATACAAGTGCAGCATAAGCTCTAATGTCATTAGATGGGAAGTAGAAGCATTTCACACATCTTCAACTTTACCTCTACCCTTTAGTCTACGGACACCACGTAAGATCCGTTGACCGTCTTTTTCCACTTCTCTCTATCTTTTGTTTCGGATAGAACAGGTCAGTCCATCTTTTATGTTGTCTTACCATCGCTTTCTCTGTCCGCCTCTTCTTTTTTTTTATTTTTGGTACTGTGCCTTGAAGGAAGGTCTTTGCGAGCGTCGAAGACCTTGTAATATGACCGAATATTGGCCTTCTTTAGTTGTAGAACGACTATTGGTCATCTTGAACAAGCGAGATGAAAGCCTGGGCAGTGTTTATGGTCGGAACGAGGTCGCCCACACAGCGGTTTCCCCCTCTACGCGCAGCTGATGAGATCAAAGGGACGGCATGTCCGATACAGTTTGGGATCAGTAGCGCCGAAGGCTCTGCCAGGCTGTATCACATTGTGCCGCAATTGGCCTAAAGGTCACCCTATGGCCATAGTGTTTCGTTCAATCTCTGTGTCTAATCTCTTGGTTTGTGATGCGGTCTTTAAATGTGATACCTGGGATCCTTCTGTAGCATCTCAATTCCATTGCTAGGATCCTCCTCTCTAGCTCTGCTGTCAGCGTCCAAGACTCACAAGCATATAAAAATGTGGCCATTGTTGTGCGCATCTTGCTTGATGTTTTCTTTTGGGCACCATAAGGGTTTGTGAGTTTTGTTCCTGTCACCGTAAGTAATATCTTCTGACACCAAAATGTTACCGGTGTTATTTTCTGACACCATAGAAAGTCACTGCGTTGGTATATATATATGTAGGCTTGGTGGTGACATTGGGTTCTTGTGTTATTTCTGAATCGTATACATAGAAATTCGCATACTCTCTTGTAAATGAGGAACTAACACTTCATGTAGCAGACACAAATAATACGTTTAATATATGCAACAACATCACACAGTGAATATGATACACAATACAAGAGCAATCAGTCATAATCCTTTATAAAAAACTTATCGAATAAAGTAATAACTTAGTAAATGATACAAGTATCAACTGCTTTATAGTAACCCCATAGTGGCTGCTTACAATAACGGGCTTACATTCAATGCCTTTAAGTAACTCCCTCAAGTGACTATCACCAACTAACTGTTTAGAATAAGTTCCCTCATCTGAGACGAAACTACTGACACTGGTTAGCTTTTCAACTCCAATGCATTACACTCTATGCTAATTTTAAAGCGATTTTTAATATCTCAGATTTTTCTACAAACACACATCTAGCACGATCGACAAGCATAAAAACTTGAAATTCAAGAACAAGAACCTATGCATTTTATGTCTGTTTGTTCTATCCATTTATCTACCTTAGATATTATAATCAACGTCGCAATGTTTCCCTTCTTTGTAAGCTTTAATACCCAAATCACATTTGATATTATTAATGGTCTCTTATATACTATTAATATATCCATGTGTCTGGGTATAAATAATGTTTACATTATTAATCGATGTATAGCATTGCATGTCTTATCGAGGTCTGAATAGTTGGAGAGTATGTTTTATTTAAAAGTAGTATTAAACAAGGTGCAGGTGTTTGATTTTTTGATAGTTTTATCAATATGGTGATTCCATGACAGTTTTCCATTTATTAGAGCATCTAGGTATTTTGCGTTTTTAGTCTTTGGGCCAGTGTTCTGCCTTCCGATGGCTCAATTGCAGTTTACGTAATAATGTGAAAAACTACTTATTATTTGTTGTTTTAAATTATGTCCAACTTATATGCATACTAAATAAATTGTGTTTGTTACTATTAATAGTGAAAAGTTGTAAAAGTGGTGTATTTTTATGAAAAAACTGCTTGCTTAAGTGAATTAAAAAATTAGATTTTTCGCTTTCCGAAAAGAAAAAAGTAGCCAGTGCATCAGATATTTGAATGGTCTAAAATATTATGATGTCGGATCTTCACTATCTTTTCTAGTTTACGAGATTTAATCGGGACCCACGGACAGACGAACGGACAGACATTCCAAACGTATCTAATAGCGGGAAATTACATTTCTCAAAACTAATAGCGTCTTTTCTTCTTTCGGGGGCCGCTAAAAAACAACAAAAAAACAAACAAATGTCAAGGCAGGTCTAATAATAAAGTAAGTAATAAATATACATAATGATTTTAAAAGACCAACCTAAATTACAGGCGCAAGAAAATAGAGTCTTGTGCACATTTATAAGATCTCTGTTTACTTATATCGACACGTCATATGAATTCCCGATTTATACTTTTAAGAAATTTGTTAGTTGGAAAAAAAAAAGCTTTTAACTATGCTAAGATGTTCATGACTTCTTTTTTCGCGGAGGGATTTGGATGTATTTTTTTTTCAACTTTGCACACGATTAAAACACACACACACGGAGGTCACGCGCACACCCACACATTCACGCACACCCACATAACCACACGCGCGCACACACACACACTCACTCACACAAACGCACATTCACGTATATCCACAAAATCACACGCACACAAAGAAACATATATATATACATAAACATCCAGTCTCTTCATTTTAACGGAGGTCTTTTGTATCCTGGAGTAGATGTTTTTTTTTGTGGAATTAGTGAAACAACAATAGACACCCTTCCATTAGGGAGCGCCGTGAAGCTTCCTAAGCGTGGTTCGGGGTAGAGCACCGGTGCCAAGAATTTTTTCCTGTATTTGAAACTTAAAAAATGCATAATCTGAGGTGTCTACAGTGCAACATCCTGATATTCTTCTATTAAAATATTGTACGCCAAATATCAAATCCGCTATTCACTGCACGTTATTCATGGGGAGCCCAGCGACTGGCTGAAAAAAATCTTCGTTCTTATTTTTATGCTGGAGGGTTCAGATGACTAGACCAATACCTGAGATGAACTGTTGGAGGGTTTAGATGACTAGACCAATACCTGAGATAAACTGTTGGAGGGTTCAGATGACTAGACCAATACATTAGATGAACTGTTGGAGGGTTCAGATGACTAGACCAATACATTAGATGAACTGTTGGAGGGTTCAGATGACTAGACCAATACCTGAGATGAACTGTTGGAGGGTTCAGATGACTAGACCAATACCTGAGATAAACTGTTGGAGGGTTCAGATGACTAGACCAATACATTAGATGAACTGCGAATTGGTTTCCAAATCAGGAAACTCTCCATATAGTTTTCTTTGCATTGGGGTGTTCTGGGGCCAGTGTCTTGTACGGCCTCTTGGTAAAGAGAGCAGTCCTGAAGGACATGGTCAGCATTCTCTGGTGACACTTCACATGGGTAGATTTCACTGGTTCCAATTTTGAGCTTCCGGTGCATATATTGTCTCATTCTGTTGTGTCCAGTCCTGAATCGAAAGGGCCACATGATCAAAAAAAGGTAAAAAAAAAAAAAATGAAATTGACCTGAAACTATTTTAATTGAAACCTGTGGATCTAGTACTTACATTGATAACATTGATATTTGAGGTTTATCTTTAATCTAGTTTTTATTCAGAAAATGGCTTCGTCTCTGTTAAAATTGTGAGCAACAGTGTAGCTAGGCTTACCTCTAATCCAATTTCTCGTCTCTTTTCGGTAAATATTCCCATGGATCCTCCAATCTCGAGACGTAGTTTAAATATCTTTTATTCGAGGCTCAAACTAAAAATGCCACCATATTTGTTTTTTTTTATATGCTGTTTCTAGATCTATATGTTGTATTTTTTGAAGCAGCCAGATGTCTTCATTAAACAAATCTTGCGACTTATTATAAAGTTCCACAAATAAAAAGTAAAAATCCGTTCAATGGTTCTGGTAGATTCTTAATTCCCATTTCATAAAAGCAAAAAATGTTAAAAATCGTGTTACCAATCCATCAGAGAAAAAGTGAGGCGGGACGGGTATTTTGGGCATCACTGAGTAAAATCATCCAAAAAAGTGTATAGATACAGAAGTCGTTTCTAGTTGCCATCATGTTTTCGGACTAAGCTAATCGATGATAAAAAAAAAAGAAATATTAGAAAACTGCTGAACAAAGTATAACAAAAAAGTTTGGACGAACGGGTCTTCGTCAGCGTCAAAGAAGCGAAAAAGACAAAGAATTAAGACAAAATAGTTTTCCAGTTATAACTTATCCTTCAGATGTTTTGGTTATCGAAACACAATTTCAGTAGTCTGTGCATCTGTCGTTTTAAGTCTTGATTGCCATTTTGACACTAATTACACCTTAACTTTATGAAAATTACACTTTTTAATGAACGTTTTTTGTTCATTTTCAACAGAAACGTTTAATGATTCGAACTCGAACGTCCGTTCTCATTTC